TGTTTTCCCCCCTCCCCCCCTAAACAAATAAATTTGAAAACCCCCTGCGAGAGGGGGCCCTCCTAAGGAGGGCGCTGTTGCTGAGGCACGGCAGGCCCTTTGAGAATTTTCTCAAGCAGAGGGGGGTGGACTTGGCCCCTTTGGGACCCGCCCCGTTTTTGGGGTCGGTTCCCAACCCGGTAGATTTTTCCGGGGAGGGGGGGAGAGGGTAAAAACTGTTTCCGGGGGGGCGGGGTGTGTAGGGTCCCACAATTGGGGCATCCCCCCCCCCCCCCCCGTGCCCTCTCAGCAGTGGGTCCACGCCCCCACGCGTGGGTCGGGAGGATGATATTTTTTATTATCAAGAGGGGGGGGCAGTTGTTTCTCGTCGGTGTTTAGTGGTGGGTGGAGAGAACGGACGAGGAAAATTACCCCCTGGTTCATGCTTGTGAAGCGTAGTCTGGGCTGGCCAAACCCCGGCATTCCGCTCCGGTCCCGAAGGCGAGGTCAATGGTGAAATGACGACATCATGCGTTCGCATGAGTAACCCCCCCCTCCGAGCCCGCCCGTTTACATGCACCCACCCCCCCTGTCTGTACCGCTGGTGCTGTCCGATCCTTGTCGCCTAGTGAAACACCGAGTACCGCTGCTAGAACCCAACCGTTGTATGTTCCTGTTTCCGTCCACTTCCACCACTGCGCTTGTCCGTTTTTTCTTGGTCGCTAAAAAACACACACACATCTACCCGAAATTCGTGTGTGGCTGCGGCCGTGTTTTGAATAGGTGCGTGTTTGTCGTTCACTCCGACGACGATCTAGGAGCGATCGCGCTTGGCCTCCTCCGGCACATGGACGACTCCAGGCTTAGAAGGACGAGGTGGGTCTGGAGCTCAGGGGGGGAGGGGGAAAGGGGAGGAAGGGACTGGCTAGATAGCTTCTTCCGTGCATGCTCGCTGGGTTACTGTTCTCCTGGTCGGCGGTTGGTGTTGTTGTCTTGACGTTGCGAAACCTGTGCCGTCTCTGCTTGGTAACAGCCTTGGTGGGGAATGTTTCTGTAGTGTCCTGGGTTGCTTTTGTGGGCCCGCTGGTTGTCTTCTGCCGGCGGCGTGCGGTGTAGTACTGTAGCAACGCGACGCGCATTGTGTGGGTGGACGGTCACAATTCTACTACAACAGCTAATACCCGCGCCGACCGCTCGTTACCCCCACACGACGGCCACAGACCGCAAGGGTCGTTGTCGTTACTGTCCATCCACCAGGAAACGCTCATGATCTTCGCCGCTTTCGTGCACGAGAACCCTCGATTTGTGCCAAGGCTGGCGGCCTCGGAGGTGAGGGGGGCTTACAGAGTATGGTTTTCTTGGGGGGGGTATACAGATCGTAGTAGATGTTTTGTTCGAAGCAACTGCAAGTTTTCGTGCGATTTGCTCGAGCCGCGGAGAGGCTGATCATTCCACCCCCCGACAAAAATCGCCATCTTGCAAGATCACACAATACGTTTTATTTTTGCAGGAGCGAGACGGATCGTTCCATACAAAACCGGCCATCATGCACGAACTACGTTCGTGTTCCGTTCCTCTTGTTGCGTTGTTTGTTGTTTTTCTTTTCGCACACAAATTAAAAATGGCCCATCATGCACGAATGACGTGTTCGTCCTCTCTCTCGTGTTGCGTGATTTTTCTCTTGTGCAGGAGCTGGTTAGAGGCACCGCAGTTTGCGTGTGCCACTTCCTCCGGGGTGCCGTGACGGCCACAATAGAGGCAGCCGAGCAGCAGCAGCAGCAGCAGCAGCAGCAGCAGCAGCGCGACGCTGACGCTGACGGGGAGGCAGCAGATGCGATGGAGGGGGGGAACACGGAAATACAGAATCGGCGGAACCCCCATGGAGAGGTTCGATTTTTCTTATTTTGGGGGCCTTCGGGGCCCGTGGTGTGTGGCTGTCAGTCCCCATTATGCTTTTTTTTTTAATATGGTCCTATTGGTAGGCGAAAGCATATGCTCTTCTTTTGGGCCAATTATGCTCGAAAAAATGCCCAAAACTGCCATTTATGCTCGTTTTTCGGCCAATTCTGCTCAATGCGGTCAAATATGCTCGATTTATACCAATATTTATTTCGTTATGCTTTTATGCTTTTTGACGCTCGAGCATAATGGGGAAAGATCTAGCGAGGCTGGTGTATTTTGGTTGTGTTGTAGGGCGATGTGGGATCGCTGCAATTTGTGCTGTTCTGTTGAGTTTGTCCGGTTGCGTTCAGATGCATGGCGAGGCTCCTGTAGAAGTTTGCGAACGGCAATGTGGGATGAGTATTATTGCTCTGGTGGTTTTGCGCGGTTGCTGTGTTCGTGGTGCTGGTGTTGGTTATGTTGCTGTTGAGACCGGGTGGAGGCCCGGGTTACTCCTTGGAGTTCTTTGAGACCGCTGCTAATAGGTCGCTTTTGTCGCAGCTGCAGGCCCTGTAACGGATACTGATGGATGACAAAATGATGGATGATTGGTGTTTGCGGCCGCCGTCGCCGCTGCTGACGCTCGTCCATATCGCTGCTGCCCTCGTTGACTCCGCAGGAGGTTGGGCTGCTGGTGTTGTTGAGCCGGCTGCTCCTGACGCTCAGCGATAACGAGCGCTTCGTCGCCATGTTGGTAGACATGCTGGCCGCGGGTGGTGGTGCGGGAGGGGTAAGTGGTTTGTGTGTGTTTCTCATGGGTTTGCTTGCACAAGTCAAAGTTGCCAGACACCCGTTTTTTTTGGGCCGATCCTCAAAGATCGATTTCTCCTTTCTAGGCAGCGTGTTTTTTTTTTTGTTCGTTCATGTTTGATTTCTAGAAAAGTTAAATCTACCCTTTTTGTGGGTAGTTGGCTTGTGACCACTCAAGGCATCTGCGTCGGTTGGGTTGTAGTGGAAGGAGAACAGCTACAACAACAAGGACGACGACAACAACAACAACAACAATGACCCTGGGCCGGCAAAAATAACACTCCAGTACGTCTTCTTCTCCTTGTTTTCTGTTCTCGGTTTGGTGTCAACCGACGTGATGGCGTATGGGATAATTTGCCGAGTTCTACCTCCCCACAGCCACAAATGCGTCCTTACCGGTTTTTCTTATGTTGCTCGTTTCGGAACTAGCAGCGGGGAGCAGAGTTCGCAGCCCCGGATCTAGGTGACGCCCCCGGCACCACCATGATAGAGGTGGTCCTGTCGCTGTGCGTGTACGCGCTCGCCCGGGCGGGAACGGGTGGTGCGGTGGTGGCTCCTGCACTGGCTGCGGTTGCTCGCAACTTGTGTCCGTTCCTGACGCGAGGCATGAGGTAAGAGGGAGGGCCTCGATATATGTATTTTTGTCGGGGGGGGCAGGGGAGGGGGAGGGGGGGGGGGGGGCAGTGTGTTGGGTGTTGCCGCCAGTGTTTATTTTTCTTCGGTGTGTTACTGTCGCTGTTTTTGTTGTAGTTGTTTTTCATGTGATGGCTGTTTGTTGTTGTCGTTGTTGTTCTTGGATGTGCTGGTGGTGTTGTTGTTGTTGTTGTTGTTGTGTGGGCGTTGCAATTGGTGTGGGCGTGTCGGCGTTGCAGTTGGTGTGGGCGTGTACTGATACACGTTGACCACATGGAGACACTGGCTTTGGTCCCGACCCGCGGGATGCCGATGACACGAAAAGTGTACGTTGGCGTAGAGAAGCCTGGGAAACAGGAAGAGGTATCTCACGTCAGCCCTTCTTTTCGTGGAAATCCTCTTGACTCGCAGGAGACAAACCGCAGAGTCGCTGCTCGATGCGCTCGAGGTCTATCTTGTTGGCGGCGGTAGCGATGGGGGGTTGGTAGAGGAGGAGGGAGGGGATGGGGGGGCGACGGCTGCGAATCCGTCTTCTTGGGCGGTGGCCTCGCTCCTGCTGGAGGGGCTGGCGGCGGCTGCGGTTTTCCATCACGAGGTAGGTTGGTGGTTGTTTTTGGTTGTCGTGTTTCCTGCCCGAGGGTGACATGCTTTTTCTGATCTCATCTGTAGTTTGTTGTTTCTTCACGTGGCGTCGATTGCGCTCGCTAACC